ATATATATTTTAAGATATAAAGAATAAATCTATATAAAAATATTTTTTTTTAAATATACTGTATTAAATAATAATTTAATTATAAAACTTTAAAATAGTTTATAACTTAATATTAAAATTATTATAGTTTATTTTAGGGCTCTTAACAGTACCACTTCGATATCTATTCAATACTTAAATTTACTATAAATTTATATAAGTGGGTCACAACCCATTATAAATTTACTATAGATTGATACCATTTCAATACTACTTTGGCATCAGTTTGATACTTTTAGAGCTTTAGTTTATTTGATAATAAATATATTTTTTAAAAAATATTATCAAATATTTATTTAAAGTTTTTTCAATAATTAAATAATAATTTTATAAATTATTTATAATAAAAAATATTTTTTTAAATATTTTTTTTCTTATAATTAGGGCTCCGAAAAGTACCGAACCGATATCGAAATGGTACTGATCTATAGTAAATTTAATATATGGGTTGTGACCCACTCATATAAATTTATAGTAAATTGAGTATCGAACTGATATCAAACTGGTATCGAAGTTGTATTGTTAGGAGCCCTAATAGTAACAAATATATATTTAATAAAGTCTTATATTTAATACCTATTTATAATAATAAAAAAAGAATTAATTTGATATTACAAACAAATAATAGATTAATTAAATATTAATATATATAAAAAAATTATCAGACCAGTGGATCAATAGCATAGTGGGTAGTGCTTCCTGATCTCCAAATGCATCAATACCATACATGTGGTCGTATTACCATAAAAGGAAATTTGATCTACAATACGATTCCAAATTAAATACGAATTCCTATTATTTACTATATGTTACTTAGTAATTCTACCATAATATGGTTTTTGAAAAATGGTTGAATTCAATTCCACCACATGTATAATCAATACTTATAGGAAGCAAAAATGTATAAAAATTATCTTTCATTTGTGGGTTTATTGATTTTCCTACAAATGTCATACTCCAAATATCCAGATCAAAACTAAATTTAGTTAAGCAGCATAAAGATGGAACCTCTGGTCTTTAACTCCAATATAAACCCACAATCCCAATTGGCACAGTAGACTCTGTAGCATAAAGAATACTCTAGCCTGTAACTATCCCAATCTGGCACTTGCTTAAAAAAAGAAAACTTGATAAAAATGGAAATTTGAAGCCACAGATGGTGACAAAGAGAACAGTATCTTTTTCAAGAGGCCAGGTAAAAAGTATTTGGATTATTCAGGTGTTCTAATAAACCCTATAAGGTATATACTCTCTGACAGCAAGCAGCCACATGGTTGCCGAATCTGGACTCAGCAGGTTAGGTGGGTTTAAACTGGTGGCAAAACTTCCTACCCTCTGAATTTGTTCCACCCAACATGTGGACCTACTCAAGTAATGGACAAGTTTGCATAGTTGGGTTAACAATATGATAGGCTAGGATTAACTTCCACAAATAAGTAGTGTAGCATTCTTAAGATAATGGCCATAAACTAAAATTTAATAAACATCTCACATTTAATGCCCATTCACATTAAAAAAATAAATTATTATATAAATAGTATAAAAAAAATAAACATGATTAATTAATTTTTTTTAATTATAAATCAGATATTACTTTATAGAACAACTATATATTAGTTAAAAAATTTTTTTATTTTTTATTTTTAAACACCAGCTGGGCCTTGCTTTATTGACTTTTTAATACTTTATACATATCATGTTTTTGTTTATTGTACATAGTTTATGTTATATTGGTTGTTGCAATGTCTTTGAGATGTATGATGTGTTGGCTGCTTCTTCCCTTTTTTGCTTCTTGATCTGCTTTTATTGTGTGCTGCTATCTGTATGGATGTTCCTGTGTTTCTGTTTTGTATGATGATGCCTATACCCATTTTCATGTTGTTGTCATCTGTTGGATTCATAGAGCCATCTGTGTACACATTGATATCATTCCATAGTTTTGTAAGCCTCTTTATTTCTTTAATCTTTTCTTTTCCTGTTTGATTTGTTGTGATAGGGCTGCTGTTTATGTTGTCATCTATTGTTATTCTTGGTAAGGGGTCTGTTTGTTGTTTGTTGATCTCTCTAATATGTGTGAGGTTGTTGTTTATTGAGTTGGAGGATTGCTGTATATGTGTTAGTTGACCTGTTATGTAGCTGTGGATTTTGGAACTGTTATTTGTTTTCTTGGCTGGGAGGAGGATGCATTCATTTGCTGCTAGTTTTCTGGAGCATCCTGTTTTGTTACCTCATATGTTTATGTTGCATCCTGTGCATTTTTCATTAGGTGAGTCTCCTGCTATTTGGATGAAATTTGTTGCTGGGATGTAATTGTTATTGGGTCGGTGTTTTGTTGTTCTTTGCTTATATATATTTGTCCATCTATACTTGTGACTAGGTATTCTCCTTTATTTATTGTTGTGTTGATAGATGTTATGTGTTGTGTTAGCAAGTTTGTTGACAGATTAGGAATGGTAATTCTCCTGTCGTTTGTGATTATGTTTTCTTGTGCAAGAAAGTTTGTCAATTGGTTGAACCATTTTGGATGTCTACAGATGTACTTGACTTTTTCTTGTGCTTTGAATTGTGTCCACATAATCATGTGTGTTTGTGTTGAGTTTGTCACTTGTTCAATAAACATCAGTTTGTATTTTTTAAGTGACCCTCTATTTTTGGTGTACCATTGTTGCAGTATATGTTCTTTGATGGGATGTAACAGGGTGTTTGCAGGGCTGTATTACTAGGCATTATGTGTATGTCATTTTCTTTGAACAGTGTCAGTAGCTTGCTGATGAAGTTGTTGTTGAGGTTTTTAAGATCATTTGTTGTCTTGACTGTAACTGGTTGTGTACTCCATACTTGCTCTTGCAGGCTTTGCAATCTTGCTCTTGTTATTTGTCCAATGATATTGTTGCTATTGATTTGGTTCATCCAAGTTCGTGTGTGTAGTTTGAGCATTCTATCATAAATGTGAAACACTTTGTATCCTGTATGGAGGTGAATTTCACTATTGATATACTATGTTGATTTTGTTTTTGATTACTGCTATAATTTTTCTGTTTATTTGTTGGCATTCTATTTCACTCAATATAATGTTTTGGAGCAGATATTCTATTGTGGACATTAGGACTTAATTGAGAATGTATCTGCATTGTTTGTCTGTAATATGCTTTTTTTTGAGTGTTTTGGTGATATAGTGATTTTGTCTTGAATGATCCACTTTTGGTGAGCTGTTTTTCCTAATTGTGTGATGTATACTCCTAGGATTCATCTCTCTGTGTTTTGGTAATCTTGTGATTGTTGGACTCCAATATCACTTCTTCTGTGTTGTTGACTGTCAGTAATGTTGACTTATCAGGGTTGAGTTTCAGATTTGTGAACTGGGCAAATGTATCTGTAATGTTTTGTATTTTTTGTTCATTGTTCTTGTTCATTGTGATCCATGTTGCATCATCCATATATGCCACCACAGGTATTTGAACTTGAGGGTCTCTGACTGTTTCTAGCCACTGGTTGTGCCTTGTGTTGTATAGCTTGTATCCTATTTTGAGTTCACTTATTTTGGTAATCAGGGGATCATAGTATATGCACCAAAACAATGGAGAGATTGTATTATCTTGGTCTATGCCATTGGTTGGTAGAGTATTCATCTGTTAACCCATGACATGTGATTACTCTGTTTTTGCGATCTGTGTTGAGGTTCAGTATAATCTTGATTACTTTTTCTGAAGTTTTGATTTTTTGCAATGTTTTTTCCAAGATGCTGTGTTTGATTGAGTCATATGCTTTGCTGATATCTTGGTTGATTAGCCAGCATTCTTTTTGGTTTTGTCTTGTATCTAAAGATGGGTTCCTAAATTAAAGGCGAGGACATAATTCAAATGTTCCTTACTATTAAAAAAGTTTTTTTTAAAATATAAGATCAAAAAAAAAACCTACCTACAAAGGTTTTTTGCAATTTAGGCCACTTGATCCAAAGGTTTTTTGAATTATGTCCCTATTAAAATAATGAATAAATAATTATGTCCCTTCAAAAGAGACATAATTGATCTGCAAAATTTTATATGCTAAATAATTTAGGGACCCATTTTAACTTGTATCTTCCAGAATATAATTTATTATTGAGATGGGTTTATTTGTGCTGCCTCCTGGAAGGCCTGCCCAGTTGAGGGGTGAGAGGATTGGATGTTAAGTTAAGACCTTTGCAAGCCTATTATTGATAATTTTTATAAGATCTTTTTTGAGCAGGTGTGATTGAGATCATGTTGCCAGTCTGTTTTCTTGGGATTGGATATACCAGATTGTGTTGCCACTGTGTTGGAATTGAGGTTGTATCCAGAATTTTATTGAAGACATGCATTATTCTTTGAATAGTTTTATCTCCCAAATGTTTAAATATGTCATAGTTTATTGCAATAGGCCAGGAGCCAAGTTTTTGCTTGTTTTGGCAATGGTTTTTCTGATCTCTGATGGTTGTATTTTTTGTAGTACTGCTGTATACCAGTTTTCTTGTATGTTGTCTCTTGGCTTGTATTCTTTTTGCCATTCTGTGGGATTTGTGACATGTGGTGTACTGGTTGATGACTGAAGTGCTTTTTTGCCAGTTCTTTGATTTCTTTTGTTTCTGTAATGATAGCTGTTTCTGGATTTTTAATGATGATTGTGTTTATTTCAATTGTTTTGCATTCTCACGATAGTATGCTGTTATTTATTTTCTTTTTGGATTCTAAATATTGATCTATTCTTTTTTGGGTGGCTTCTTTGATTTGAGTGTTGATGTTGTTTTGTAGTTCTGGTTGGTTATCTTCTTTATTGCTTGCCAGAGGTCTTTTACTTCTTCCAGCCATCTTGTTTTTTGGTTGGTGTTTTCCTGAAGGGGAAAGTTTGTTATAGGTATGTTTTGTTTTTGTAGGAATTTTGATATTTTGTTGATTTTTTTAAATATTGTATTTGATATTCTCTTTCTTTTATATATGTATTGACTAGATGTACCAGTTTCCCAAGGTTATAAACTGAGCTGATGTTTCAGTTGGAATTGTGTGGTTGGAAGTAGTTTTTGTTTGTTTGCGTATGGAGGTTTTTTTTGGATTGGCTTTCTTGACATGCCTTTTTGCTGTTGTACAAATACTATTCCAGGTAATGTTCCAAAGTTTTTCTACTTACATATGGGTGGTGTTGTGTGAATCTTCTTGCAGTTCTATTTCTTTGTCCAGATTCTCTTGAAATAGCTTCCATTGCTTTGCCTTTGTTGCTTTAGTATTGAATGTATTTGTTTTGAAAAATGTGTTGTATGGTATCATGTAATGATGTTGTGATCACTATTGGAAATAAATTCTGATAGTATAATGTGTGCCTCCAGTGTGAACCAGTTTGGATTTGGAGACAGCCAGATGTAGTCAATTCGTGTTGCAGCTCCATTATTATTTTGCCATGTGTATTCTTTTTTGGATTGGTGGTGAAATCTGTATATGTCTATCTGGCCCAGTTGTGAGAGTATATGTAGGATTGAGTTCATAGGTCGTGTTTTGCAGTTGTCTTTTGAGTAGTGGAGTTTGTCAAGTTTTGGGTTTGCTATTCCATTAATGTCTCTCAGTGTAATTGTGAGAAAGTCTTTGTTGGTTTGTCCAACTTAAAAATTGTTTGCGGTTGCTGCTGAAAAATGCTGGAACATATATTTCAATGATACTGACTTTGTTATTGTTTTTGTAGTATAGGTTTATACAGATACCTCTTTCTGGGAATTTGTCTACACCACCTATGTGTTGTGCAATTTCTGTTTTGAGCATGATAATAATTCCTGCTCCTTTGTTATCTTCTGATACAAAGCTTTGGTAGCCTGGAACCTTCCAATGCTTGCTGGAGTCATTTGTGATTTGTGTTTCTGTAATCACGGCTATGTCCACCTTGTTGTCTGTACAATATTTTTGCCATAGCACTTTTTTTAGGAGGTTGTTGAATCCTCTTGTATTGTGTGTTACTATGTGCCTTTTGTGCTGTATGTTGGTTAGTGATTGTTCAAGTGAATCTGTTGTGTTGTTGCTGATGTACTCTGATATTTCTGGTGCTGTGTGGTTTGGTATATGTTTAGTTGGTTTTCTTTCTGTGTTATTGTTGTATCTTCTTGTGATGTTTCTGAGTCTGA